TGTAGATTTCCGTATAAGCATAAATCAAAACATCTTTTTAAAAAAGTTTCATATGTTAGGTTTAGGTTAGGTAAATTATTCGTCTTCGTACAAATTGCTTTATTAACAGTACTGTTTATTATACAATAATTCTTAAAAACGCAATGTAACCGATCCATACAATAAAAGTTTATTGTTCTGACTCGGCTCATCATCCTTAGAAAGGACAGATGCGAAAGCATTGCATCGACGTCAGTTCTTAACTTGTGTACGCAATAATATTAAATAACACTTGTATAAATTATTTCAACATTGTCATTGTAAAGTTAAATAAATAAATAAATATTTCAGGACATATTTTTACACAACGTTATCTAGTCCCAAACTAAGCAAAGCTAGTAGCTAAGTACTATGGATACTAGATAGCTGAATAACATGCTTAAACGTACTTTTCTTTTTTTTTTCATCTGTAAATAAATACACGTTATAATATATAAAGACACAGACACTGGAAAAACACTATGGTCATCTCACAATATTTTTCCAGTAGTGGGGATCGAACCCACGCCCTCTGGCGCTAGAAACAGTATTACTATCCTCTACGCCAATTTGGTAACGACCCGTTACGTTGTATTTCCATGTATAGTACAATTGTCGTGCGAAGAATTAGAGCCTTGCTAGTTACAAATATTTGAATACGGATATAGCTTTCGAATTGTTTATCGCACACGTCATTAATCTGGGTGCCTTTCATGTTGTTTCAATGTCGGCGGCAGTAATTTAAAACACACAGTTTCAATTAAAACCATTCGATTGGTTCCCCCGATTACCGCGAAACGGTTCACGCTCGAACGCTTCCGCGAATTAAAGTAATCGACCGATGTTAAAAACTGAATAGATTGTACAAAAATCCCGCGATACCTGTAGGTTTATTCGTGGACACCACGCTTTTACCGACCACACAACATGCACCACTTGTGTAATAGGTAGGCGCCAGGTGACAGGGGTATTCCTGACCCGTCGAGGTTCAGGCTAGGCGCCTCGTGCGCCAGGCCACCTCAAGTCCGTCGGAGCTGTAAAGGCCCCTAAGGCCAACAGTGGCTCATCCAGCCCAAAAAAAAATAGGCTATTCCTAAAAAAAAAAAAAAAAAAAAAAAAAAAAAATAGGCTATTCCTGAACCGATATGAATTAGAGGCATTTGAGAAGAACTTCTTATTACTTATATATGGAAACGCTTTTTTAAACAACGTTGAGTAGATACTTGGGCAGTACTGATAAGTAAATAGTGATTCCTTTACCATAAAAATAATTATGATTTGTGGTCGAAGTAAAATAAGTTGAAAGTTCCAATAGTATTTTATTGATAACACTTCTTTTTCTTGGCGTTTATTCCTAATGTATTCATAGGTAAATCCTTTTATTCTTATCCAACATAAATCCTATTTTTACGTAAAATATTTGCTAAATAGCTATATCACGTATTCAAAAATAAATAACCAGCGGCAGTGAAAGTTCAAATTGCGTACCCAAAAGCCCGATAACAATCAAATAATCAAACAGCAAAAGTCGTTCACTCTAATTGCCATCAGCGAGTTTCCCAGTAGCGCGTTCAGAATAGACGTTCCGGCTCTTACCCGCAAGAGACAGCTTGATTTAGTACCCCTGTTATGCGGAGTGGGGCACTGTAGTTCATATTCTTGCATAGGTATAAGCGGACCTAATAATTGCTCTACATTACAATGGACGCATTTAATGCTATAAAGGTAGAGCAGTTCACCTGTGCCCTAGTTGTTTATTTTATATTCTATCACAATTTATGTTAACTTTTAGAGTAGATGACAACTTTTCATAGAACTTATAAGACATAAAAGATGGATATATATCGTAATGGCTGTCATATTGATCTGTGATCAAAGGTCAGGGTTTCGATTCCGATGACTGCGCACTGATAATCCATATATACTTATTCTCATATGGATAAACAACTGTCTCATATTTGTGTCTAGCATCACAGTAGACTTACCTATTTTTCTACCCTTTTATATTCAAAGGTATTGTCTAAATAATTTTTATTTCTAGACAGGGCTAATTTTTATCCTCTGTCGTAAGCAACAGAATATTGATCCCAGTAAGCCGAGCCCAACATCCTCTGGGAATCGGAGATTTTTCGTTCGACTGACTTTAAAAAAAAGGTTTCCTCAATACACCCACTTCGCCTTTTCTTCGCCGTCTCATTTAAATTCGCCTGTTAATGCGGCACGTCCCCTTATTTAGCTTTGCAATCGGTTAACGTGTAACGACAGTGCACGCTACAAAATGAATTGTGCTTTTTTATTGTTTGCGTCGCAGTTCTGACAATAATCTATGCATAACGTGACTATTTGGTTTAAGTGTTACGAAGATTTACGACGTTTTCAAAGCACCTCGCTCTGACAGTGGCTTTTCCAATATGTCCCTGGAAAAGTGTTTTGTAATTTAATGCGACAAGGCAGCAGGGGACCATGTAAAATAAAAGCGTAATATTTCTTAAGTCTTCTTTCACTTTCTGATCTATTTTTCTTTATGGCTTAAGGGTCGTCGTTCTACACAGAAAAAAAGTTTTTTGATTTGGTACTTGTATTTTACAATAACCTTATTATTGTGAATCCTAATGGGAAAATGTTGAAACCTAAATACAAATTGATTAGCTTGCATAGAGCACGAATATATTTACGTTTGTTGGCAGCTCTACCTTGGTTTGAATGTGAACAAATCTATTCTCCAATAGCATATAATTTCTTCTTAAAATGAATGAATGAGACAAATGAGAAAACTTGGAATGCGAGTGTCAGCAAATCTAAGACACCGAAACTTGAATTTTATTTTGTATATAAAATATCTATTATTGATTACTATCGATTTTCACCAAACTTATTATTTATAAAGAAGATATTTTTTGTCATGCTGTAAAAGTTTTAATATCCACATCAAAAGCTAAATACATCAATGATATAATTTTAAGTAAAATATTATATTAAATAAAGAGCACCATAAAATGAACAATGTAGAGTTTAAGGGATGTATCTCTTCCCCAACCTTAAATATAATTTGTGACAGCGTAGGGTACGGAACTTGGGTGAGCAATTAAAGGCCCGTTTTAACGATTTTAGGTAGCAAGTGTACCCCTTTATGGCAACTCTTGAATATGAATGTCTTAATATAGGGTGTTTTCAACAAGCATTTGAAATTGATAGCTTAATTCGTTGCTACACGAATAATTACGATGCTAATCAATATAATGAACGTTGTCACAGCAATGGTAATATTAAGCAGGAATTTCCGTAATAAAATTTGAACAGCCCTCAAAATTGTTTATAAGTTATTGAGAACATTTGACACCGTCTCTGTGCACAAAATTGTAATCTGGCCAAGGTTTTAGGTATATATATATATATATATATATATATATATATATACCGTACGAGTTTCGTTTTTATATAAGACGATGGCAGACGAAACGCAGACGTATAAAACTTTCACTTTATGCCTGTCTTCTTCGAGATCGTGGTACCTCCTCAGACAGACTTGCTCATTGTGCAACTGAGAATTTGACTAACTAACTATTACTTATATCATTAATTTGTTCCAGATAAAACTTTTTCATGGTAAAAAATATTTTTGTTGTTAGTTTAGATAGCTTTTTACGGTGGTAAGGCCACGCAGCAGCCTCAGCTATTGCACGAATGGGCAGGCTCGTCCGGGTAAGTACCACGACCTCACAGAAGACCGGCATCAAGTGGAAGTATAATATTTTCGCGTTTCGTCTGGTGAGTGAGGTAGCCGGAACCCAATTTTCAAAAGGTTGTCAACGCACCTGCAACCCTCGGGTGTAGCAGATTTCTATGGGCGGCGGTATTCATTAACATCAGGTGAACCACCTGCTCGCTTGGCAACTTTTCACATAAAAAAAGCTGGTTAGCTAAAAACGGTGTATTTCTCTTTTGACAAGCGAATTTAAAAAAAAAACGTCACTTGGCAGACGTCTCCTTGCCAGAAAAAAAAAAGAAACGCTATATTAATTCAATTCAATTCATTTATTCGGCAAATAGGCCGCCAGGGCCAATAAAAATTGGACTTCCCGACATTTCCTTAACGACTTTGGATGAGAAGTCACGAGAAAGAAAAATTCGTTGAAATATTCCCTTGCTCTTTGGTAAATATAGTTTGTTTCTTTATTTGTGTCCTAGAAGCATAATAATGGGTATGTACACAGTAAGACAATAATTACTATGGTATGTACCATAAAAATAAACACTTAGATTGGAAACAATAATCAAAATTAAGGGGTTTACAGTGATTAATTGAAAAGTATATTTTCAGCATAAATATTCTTAGGCAATATAGCAATAAATGTTTAATACATAACAAGGTATCAGATTTTTATGGCTATACACATCAGGTTTTGTGTAGAAAATTATAAAAATAAGGAATGAAAAAATGTAATAGATAAAGCAGAAAATACAAAACGGGAAAATTTAATTATAACCTCAAAATAGATTGACAAAATAGATAGACAATTTTGTAAACTCGAAATAACGCTTAAAACGCTCATAGATAAATATCAAAAATTAATCATTGGATAAATTACCGTCCAAAATGTAAAAGGAATAAAATCATCCACGGTTCGTCTTCCGGATGAAAAAAAATCTAAAAGAAATACCTAATTGTCATACACAAAAAAATTCAGAGAATCTTTAACAATTTTATAGACTTAAATCAACAATTTAGCAGACAACAGTTAACGTCAAAGTTTGATATAATATGGAACTTTGTGAACTATGCGCAATTATTACGTGCATTGGTGAAGGAAAACATCGTGAGGAAACCTGCATATTTTCGAAATAATAACACAGAAAAAATATTTCGAAGATAATATGTGAAGTCCGCCAATCCGTATTGGGGCCGCGTGGTGGACTATGCCCTGAAAACCTCTGTACAGAGTGGGACATATATAGGCTGATACTTTCATGTGAAGCGTTACCTTTGTGCATTCCGGTGTGCTTGTCCTTGAGGACGGTCAGCTCGTAGATCTTGCCGAACTGCTCGAACATTGGGCGCAGGTCCTTCTCCTCGAGGTGCCTCGGGATCTGGCCGATGAACAGCTTGACGGCGTCTTTGCCCGCGCCCGGCGGCGCCCCCGTCCTTTCGGAAGGCGTCTGGGGCACGGGCGAGCCCTTTCCATCGGAGGCATCGTTAACCGGAGTGGGCGGGCTGGAGCTCACCGTCGAACCGTTCAGCGACTGGCTCGCGATCAGGAACTGGCTGTGCACGAAAGCGGGGAACAGGACGCCCGGGTTGCACAGGCTCGAGCCCACTAGCATGTTTCTATCACAGTTCACGGGCTTTGGTGACGCGCCAGCGGGGAGGGATCACAGCGAAGTTTTGTACTACGTTTCCTTATACTATAAATTCGGTTTGTTTTAAAGCTTCCGCGGACTGTTTACTTTCGGAGGGCGCGGAGGGCTGCGTGAGTGTGCGTGCCCCGTGTTTGTGTTTGTGTCTCGACACTCTCCCCGAAATGCGTAATGCTATCGATCCTTATAGTAGGTTGGTGGCTTAGGGACCCCCCAGTGTTTCACTCAATGTTTCACACGTGCTACGCTATAAACAACTCGTCCGGTGACCTGCGCGCCTTATATTTTTATACAATCCTTGAGATATTTATTTTACACAATACTCACTACGCTACGATTTAATATTGGCACTGGGTTTTGTACGTTATTTATTTTTTGGTTCTAACACTAAGCGACAATTTAGCGGCCAAATGCATGCAAATAACGTTTGGTTACGGAATGTTTACGTTAAGGAGCGCACGCGGTATTGTTTACAAACAGATGGCGTTACTACTCGATTAATTTATTTTTAATCATTAATTTCACACTCCGCCTTCCAGAGATCGGACAGTTTTCGCGATTTTCGCGCGCGTTTATTACCAGAAGCGAACGACAGCGCAACTTAAATCAACGGACACCAAAAGCACTTATCATACACAGCGGATTTGAATAACGAACACGACGACGAGAAACGATGACCCCACGCACAAAATAAAACACACGAACGACACGAACTAAATTAGGCAACAGATTTGCCGTGTTACCGTCTATATGTCTACATGTCCACTAACCTAAAATTCCCTCCGAGTCCCTTCATAGCGTACGCTATGGGGAGTCTCGGATCTTGATACAGGCCTCCCTTTCGCTCTCCCCCGCATAGAGATATTTAGCTACGCAAGTAAATTCGCTTTGTGCGACGCGGTTGATTATTGCGAATTTCTTGTCTCGCGCCGTGTTATTTGAGGAATTGTATTGTTAACATGTTTAGAACGTGTCTACGTATCGTCGCGATTTCGGGGGCTCAAAATGAGATCACTCCTTGTGCGAATTCCTAAGCAAAACAATAGATATTTTTTTATGACAAAACTGCGTCAAAATTTAGTCTATAATACGGAGAACTTACAGAATAGTATTAGAAAATATAAAAGTTGTTGATTATCATACAAGTACGAAGGTAAAAATGAATAAAAAAATCCTCCAGTTAAAAAAATACTATTTGAAACTACAAATATCAAGATTATATCGCATATTTAATTATCTTTGAATTTTAAAATTTTCGACCAAATCGCAGGCGAATTTACCTTTTTTTTTTTTTTTTTCAATTATTAAAAGTGAACCCAAACTCGAATCGGGCGTTACGTACGAAAAAGTTCGCCGTGAATATTTCATCCGACCAATGCCGATGCTTAGGAGGAGGTCGTAAAACGGAACGCGAAATTCGGCAAAAAAGGTCTTCAATGTTTGGTCGGACTATAATTTAGGATCCGAAAATAGAGAAGGGATGTGCTCCGTCCCCTCCCGCGCCCCTCGCCCCCTGCACCCCGCTCGCGGTCCTGCCAGCGTCAGTTCGGATGATTTTCGCGCGTCCCTTAATGGCTTTTTGGGAAAAAAATATATCAAAAGGAGCACAGAGCCGATCGTAAATAATATCTCGCGGTTCGTTCTAAAATTGAAATTTTACGAGCTCCACGCTTTCTTCGTCTGATTATAATACGAGGGAACGAGTTCTGTATCATATTGTATGAAACGAAATGAAAGGAATGATGCGAGTGATCTTATCCTGAGAAAATAAGCTTTCTTACTCAAAGAAATTTCTTTCTACTCGAAATATAACAATGCATTTTACAGTTGTTTCGTGATAATCCCTGATAACAGTTTAAAGTTATAAAGAGAGTAATAAAGGAGAGTGTGGCAAGCGAGAATATTATTACATAAGGCGTACGTATAATACGTGTAATGAATAACGTGACACAGAAATTTATGACGCAGAAATGAGTGGTGGCAAAGTCGGCAAGGGACGCCGTAGACGGACGTACTGCTATATTGATCAGAATTGAAACGGAGGGTCAAATAAGTGCCCATGAGAGGCTACCGCGGTGGTTTGCGTATATTTTATGTACAGGTGGAAATAAAAGATTTCTAAGTGTCGTTTTAAGTGTGATACACTACGTTCGTTTTCATTAATTTTCTCTACGAAATCAGGTGTAAATATATAAATGGACTAATTATCAAAGTAATATTTTAAATCGCAATGAAATAATTTTAAATAAATATCTGAAAACAATAAATTTCCAAAAGATTAAGACCGCCATTGTAACGCGTTGAGGATCCCTGAAAATATGATATTTAAATTAAAATAAGGCTTGATATTACTTAATGGTTTCTGTCAGAATAAAATAATAACATGCGACGTGACCTGAATATTACAAGAAAGCGTAGGCTTAACACCGCTCGTTTTATTAGGGAAATTTTGAGGTCCCTTTTTTTATTAGCGATTAAGGTAACCTGTTTAACGTTTTAAAAGTAATAACCTTTTAATTTTTTTTTGCTTTCCATACATTTTCTTTATATTTCGCTCAAGATATATAAACAGAATTACATGTATCCATTCATGTGAAAAAAGGACATTACATAAAACACACTTAGTTTGATAATAGTGGTATGAATTTACTTCTTATATATATATATATATATATATATTGGTGTTAAAATCCTTAACATACTTATATTTAGAAATTTAAATTGTTTATAGTGCTAATCTTTGCACTTAAGATTGAACATTAAAATTAAACATTTGAACGTTAAAAGATTTTCGTCGGTGTGTCAATCAGCCGTTTAGCTCAGTGGCTAGAGCGTCAGGCCGCGAATGCCGAAGACGTGGGTTCGATTCCCACAGCGGCGACAATCTTTTCGCACTTTTTTTCTACATATTTTAATTAGCCTAAACCTTCACCTTACAATTTCAAATAATGATTCCTATCCGTTAATGATACGAGATAATGGAATTTATTAAATAAAGTAATTTTACATTACAATGTTGTCGTTCTGTAAACACGTAGCTTATCTACGACCGCGTAGCATGCAGTACGTAGCACGTCACTCATCGATATGAGAAATAAAAATACTCAGAAACGTAATGAAGGTTTCCCTTTCTTTTCGTTCATTACTCATTACTCTTTACGTAACACATTGATGTGGTAGTTTCATACTTGACTTAACATACAAACACATATGTTTATATTTTTATTAGAATGCCCGAACATTGAACCCGATGTCCGAACCAACGAGAGGATAATAGAGATAAAGAGAAGAAGTAAACATGCTGCGTTGGAATATAACAGATTGACAGATTATCTGAAGTTCCAAGACGATAATCCTCAAATCTGCCAACCTGTTTTACCTGGAGTATATCCAACTGTCCCAAGTAGGTTTGTGGCCAAACGGCATCCGATGAAAGTCGTAGAAGTCGACGCTCCAATATCACCGTGATGAAGTGGGGGCTATTTATGAGGTTATATCATACATTCCTTCTCCATTCAGGAAGCATACATTCCTTTGAAACTCAGTACACCCTAATAATGGGAAGTTTCAACGCAAAATTAGGCAGAAGAAAACGCGTAAAGCTTTTTGGAATAGGGCAACGGAACCCAACGGGGCAACGGGGGCGCAGTTAGCTGACTTTATTGACTTTATGGAACTTGCCATGAACTCCTGATAATGTCACTCTTTCTTCAAAAATCAGCCTCATAGAAAGTAGACCTAGAATTGAACTAATGGTTCTGTCAAAAACGGGATCGACTTTTTAATGAACTAACGGCAAACATTCAATGATGTATCAGTGATCGCTAGGGTAAAGATCGGCAGATCTTCAAAATATTATTTTCTTGATTTTACGCGAATATCATACATATTAAATGAAACTAGTTTATGGATTTTATCACGTTTTTTTATTTTGATTTTGAACTCCCGACGTTTCGAACCTGTTCCAGCGTTCATGGTCACGGGACAGACTAAGATGTTATACGTTTTGATATCATAGTTAACCCCGGCTACCGTCAATTATTTTGTTTATTTTTATTCCGATCCACGCAGAATCTTCAAAATTCTAGGTAATGTAATAAATTGAAATTTGAATTTTATTCATGTTTGTATATTCGCATAAAAATTGAGCCGCATATATTCCTTCTTATGAACTTTCTTTTGTTTAATATAATAATTAAAAATCCTTTTTTAACCCTGAAACATGATCGTTCTCTTAAGTGGCACTTTTAGAGTATCCTTACTAATTAAAATCCAATTGTTTTTACCTCTATCAATGTCAACATTCTGTGGTTTTTATTTTCATATAAATTCACGGCAAACTTAAACTGTGTAACCAATTACTTCACATTGAATATGATAGGTTGTAAAATTCAAAACTTATTGGCATTTAAAAATATGAACTTTTTGTAATATCGGAAACGATAAGTATGCATGAAATATAAATGTTACCTATAAACATCGAATCTTTGCCACCACCATTTTCTCAAAACTTACGTGAAGAAAACGAAGCAAAATCATTTTGTTTTAGAGAATATTCTAGAATATGCTGCGTGCCAACAGTTTAGAACGCTAGCGACCCAAACACCATACACAACATGACCTGAATTGCTGTTAGCGGTCCATTAATTTCACATAAACTTGAACTTTGCAACCATGCTGTTGTAAAACGCTGCATTACGGTACACACGGCCGTGTTGTATACTATAGAAAACGGATTTAAATGATCTGTTTCTAGACAATTCATTTGAAAGCACAAAGTACAGTTACCATATCAATTAGCTTTTTCTTATCTTTATTTAGATGATGAAATAAAATTTTGAGTTTCAAAATACGAACGGTTTATTTTAATAATAGACACACCAAAAACGTACATAAAAACTCGCTTTTTCACAGAGTTTGAGCAAATTCTAGTGTCATCGTTTCTATAAGTAGTTTTTTTACCGACT